CCCCCCCCCCCCCACAAAGGGGTGTACTCACGGCCTGGTTGGCATCACTTCTCCACACACACTCAAAATGTATAGGTCCGCCCTAATAGAAAATAGAGACAAGGGTAAGAACGATGCAAGCGTGGTGTCTTGACTGCTGTTGTTTCTTTGGTTCGCTATCCGTCCTCAAGGTCAGTTACTTGCGTTGCATGCTTGGATGCATCAGGCGGGATGGACCGCACGGGATGATGTTTTTCCTCCGCCTTCCCCCTGCGGTGCTTGCCATGCTTGCTATCGCAAAAAAATTCGAACCGACTCTTTGCCTCGCCGACCTACATGAAGTCGTGTATCGTGTTGTTTCTCTTCAGTTTTTCGTTTTGTAACCATCTCTGAAGGGCGGGCAAGAAAAAAATGATCAAGAAGAAAGACGTGCGAAAATCAGGATGGAGCAAGTTGGCGTTGACCCGGCAGCAGACTTGTACCACTCTGTAGGCTCTATTCCAGCTGGCATGGGTGGATAGCGGTGCAAGGACTTGCACACAGACGCAGCACTCCAGCATCCTTCAGGGGTCACCCAACCCTCGCTAAATAGGCTTCGATCACATCCTCTCCTAGAACGTTCTTTTTTTGTTTCTACAAATGAAGCACAAGAGAATTCAATGTGAAAACTTTTTTTGCGAATGTTGAGGTCCGCATCTTTGCTGCTGATCCGGGCGGGGGCGCCAACAGGTGAAACAGAGGCCCCGACCCCGACGACTCGAATGGTCAGATGATATACCACCAAATGATGAAAGAATATGCATACAGAAGGAAAAATCGAGTGTACAACTGGAGCGTGATATGAAGTCCATCTTGCGGCTTTGTGTACCGCGTTCAATCGCGCCCCCCCGTCTACTGACACCACATTTTGATCTCTACCTCTACATCACGGATTGATGCCTGTGTGTACCACGCATTGATCCGTACAACGCATCCCCCAAAACTGAACCCCTTTCCACGCGCGCCCGTTACCCTCCGCTACAACCGCTCTCTTGTTCCTCGGTGCGGCTGCTCTCCGCTTCAGCGACCCCCTTCGGCAGCAACACGGCTCAGCAACAGACCCCAGCCTTCGGGGCAGCATCGACGACGTTCGGCTCCAGCACAACCGGCGCTTTCGGCGCCAAACCGGTAAGTCTGCTGTAGCTGTGTAGGATTCCGCGCTCTCATTCTGGAAGACTTTTTTTGATGACAGGCTTGTGCTCGGCAGGCGATTGCCTTGTGTTTGTTTTTGTCGATTTGGACTGGAAGTTAGTGTATCTCAATCGCGAGTAAAATTACCTACCGAACACGAGCGCGTTGCTACCGTCCGTTGTTGCCATTCAGCTCCGGAATCGGGGGATCGGAACCCAGTGAAATCTATGTTTCTGTGCCCACGTACTCGACGACATGCGAGGAGACAACGCAACCGCTCACTTCAGCGATGACGCTAGAGGCCTCCAAGAGCGCTCCGCTTGAACGCCCCTGCAGAAAGCAAATATTTTGTAGTCCACGGAGCCCCCTTTCCCTTTCAGTGTTCTATAACCGCCGAGGCATGCAAAACATGAGAGTACCCCTCCCCGCCGCCCCTCCCTTCCCTCCCACAGACGTTCGGAAGCACCACAACCGGTGGCTTCGGGACCGGCACGAGCGCCTTCGGTGCGGCAAAGCCCAGCGTGTTCGGCGCCCCCGCCGCGGCCCCCTCCACCTCTGCGTTCGGCCGGACGACGTCCACAACGCCGTTCGGAGCGGCGCCGGCGACGAGCGTGTTCGGTGCCCCCGCGGCCGCGGCCCCGGCCAGCCCGTTCGGCGTAGGCGCTCCCGCCGCCGGCGCCTTCGGCAAGCCGGCGTCGAGCCCCTTCGGCGCCACGACGGCGCCCGCGCCGGCGGCGGGAGGCTTCACGGGCTTCGGCGCTCCGCCGGCGCCGGCGCCGGCGACGGGACTGTTCGGCGCCGCCCCTGCCCCCGCCGCGGGAGGGGCGTTCGGCGCGACCCCTGCCCCCGCCGGCGGCGGGCTGTTCGGAGCGGCTCCCGCGACGACGGGATTTGGGGCCGGGGCCGCGAAGTTCGGCGCGCCCGCACAGCAGCGGCAGGGGACGGGTAACCCCGCGTGGCGAGAGACTCGCGCGGAGGACCCGACAGGCAAGGCTGGAGCGAACCCGGGCATGCTCCAGTCGATCTCCGCCATGAAGGTGAGACTGTTAGATGGGACTCGTCCGCCACCAGAGGTAGGCGGCGCGGGGTTCGGCTTGTGTGCAAGCTGGATGCTTTTTTGAGTTTTGACAAATACCGGAGTTGTCTTGTGTTCCGCTTTTCTGCTCGTGACTTGTGTTCACCCGGGGTTCTGGGGCACGGGGCAGTGTTGCTGTTGTGAGCCACTCGAGCAAGACACTCCGTTACTGCCTGTCTCGGGATCCGATAGCGGTCGCGCTGGAGGTTGAGTCAAGTAAGCCTCTCGCTTGTGCTTGCCTTTTGACCGCTTAGCGCTCATGGGCAAGCGTTGAGGTCTCCGAGGACGACCAATCAAGGGGGCGATGCCGTCGTTGTGTGCGTGTTTTCGTCCTAAATATTTATCATGGCGTCAGTCTCCCCGTTTTTCGTGGTGAGACGTGTTCAGTGTATGTAGAGTACTCAACTTTTCTGTGTTTGTAGACTACAACTACAACCATCCAGGGTTGCACAGAAGGAGGTAAACACCAGAGGTTTTTTCCTGTTTGTATTTATTTTCGTCCCCCACCTTCCTCCTGCGGTGGGTGCTGAATTTTATTTTTATCGCGAGAAGATAATTCGCATCAGATAAAACTTTACCCAATTAACTCTGCAACAGCAGTGGGGCACACCGCGTGCACGCGTTTGGGTTCCGCTGCTTACAGATTAGTCGACACCTGCGGGCAAGTGAAACTGTATCTGTCTAGCTGGTTCGAGTTCCGCCGTTGTTGCAGCAGTGTATGGCCGAAATGTACAATCCTTTGGGTGGGTAGAGGGATAGCAGTAGGTGTGCCACTAGATAGATCAGGCAGCAGAAACGGGTGAACACGCCTCCTCAAAATACTTGCCTTTTTTGTTTATCCGAGCTTGTCCTGTCTGTCGTTATGCCCAAAGCGGACTCCTACTCGCTTGTGTTCTAGATGCCGTCCGCCAGCTGTGTAGGAGTATGCACGCCCAGCCGCCTCCGGCCTCCGCGGTGCCTTCGCCAAACCTTGCCTTTGTTGTCCGCCCACCCCTCGCCCACATGCATCTTCCGCAGGAGTACGAGGGCAAGAGCCACGAGGAGCTGCGAGTCGAGGACTACCTCCTCAACCGCAAGAACAGCTTGGCCGTGACAGCCGGCGCCACCGCCGCCGGCGCCGCCCCAAGCTCCGGCCTCTTTGGGACCACTTTCGGGTCGTCTGCCGCCACCGCTCCTGCTGCCACCGGAGGCTTTGGCTTCGGAGCGGCCGCTCCTGCGTCTTCCGCCGGCGGTCTCTTCGGGTCGTCCGCCGCCGCCGCTCCTGCCCCTACCGCTGCCGGAGGCTTCAGCTTCGGAGCGGCCCCTACCTCGGCGGCTCCTTCCCCCTCGCCCTTCGGCAAAACGTTCGGGGCACCGGCCCCGGGAGGCTTCGGGACCGTCTCCGGCGCCACCACTCCAGCCCCCGCTGCCACGGGCGGCTTGTTCGGAGCCCCGGCCGGAGCGTCCGCCGCCGCCGCTCCTGCCCCTACCGCTACCGGAGGTTTCAGCTTCGGTGCGTCCGCTACTTCGGCGGCTCCTTCCCCCTCGCCCTTCGGAATAACGTTCGGGGCACCGGCCCCGGGAGGCTTCGGGACCGTCTCCGGCGCCACCACTCCCGCCCCCGCTGCCACGGGCGGCTTGTTCGGAGCCCCGGCCCCGGCCCCGGCCACCTTGTTCGGCGCTCCAGCCCCCGCCCCTGCGGCCGGCGGGTTCAGCTTTGGCGCCCCCGCTTCCGCTGCGCCGGCGCCCGCCACCACCGGGTTCGGAGGGCTCTTCGGAGCCACGCCCGCCCCCGCTCCGGCGGCGGGAGGATTCTCGTTCGGTGCTCCGGCCACCGCCGCGGCTCCGGCGACGGGCGGGTTCAGCTTCGGAGCGCCGTCCCCCGCGGCGAAGACCGCCTTCGGCGCGCCCGCCCCCACCCAGTCGGTGTTTGGCGGGACGGCGGGAGGAGGCCTTTTCGGATCGACGCCCGCCGCCGCCACCGCCCCCGCGGCGGGAGGTTTCAGCTTCTCGAAGCCCCCGGCCGCCTCCGCCGCCCCTGCCCCCGGCGGATTCGGCTTTGGAACCGCCGCGGCACCTGCGCCTGCTACCACCAGCGCGTTTGGTGGGTTCGGAACCACGTTTGGGGCCGCTGCTCCCGCCCCAGGTGCTGCGTCTGGAGCGCCTGCCTCTGGCGGGCTGTTTGGAACGGCGCCGGCGACCGGCGGGCTGTTTGGTTCGATGACCCAACAACAGCAGCAACAACAGCAGCAGCAACAGCAACAGCAGCGAGTCGCCCTTCACAATCAGGACCCCTACGGCGCAGCTGGCAATCCGACGTTCGGGTCGGGAGCTTTGGAGCAGAAGGTAGGCGTGGGGGAAGGGCGGGTTGCACGGCGACGGTTTCTATTGCCAGTAGCTCGCTTGCGCGAGGCCTCGGTAAGGTAGAGCGTTCGGTAAGAAAATGCACTGCTTTGTGTAGTCGTTTTGTGGTGGGATGGCTTTGTGGCTCTCTAGTCGGTTGTATGGTGACGTTGGAGCTTTCGCGCGACATTTCTAGCTTGCTTTTTCGGGGGTGGGGTAGGCGTACGTAAAGTGGCAGTTTCGCGCTTTGTTCTCGCTCATGGCAGGCCATGTCGTGGGGAGGTTGCCCGTCTCCATGTCAAGGCCATGGTGAGGGGGGAGGACATGAACAGCAGGCGGCTCTCTTTCATGGTTGGGATCTATCCTCGTGCGTCTGCTCATGTTAGCGTTCCACCACTATGTGCCGTCGGCTCATGTGCTGCTGCTCTGTTGCCATGACAGGACAGTTAAGATTGTTGATGCTGACAATGTTGGACTGATAACAACGGCTCGGAATTTTCGTTTAGGAATCATAGCCCCGTCTTCCCCGCGGCAAGTAGCTCGTCGCGGGGTGAACCTCCTGTCCACGGGTGTACGAAAAACGCCTGTGCGCAGGAACGTCAACGTTGTCCCCTACTCTGCCGTCCGCTCCCTTGCGCTTTCCTCAGGGAGGTTAACTTGCAAACACAAACACACGCGCCCACACAATCTCTTTCTTCCCCACTTGCCTTATCTTGCAGATCAAGGGCGTGCAGAACAGCAGCCAACAGCTGGCCATCAGCTTCGAGCGCCACCACCACGCCGGTTCCTCTGGCGGCAGCCAAGGCGGTGGCACCGGCGCCGGCGCCGGGCAGGCGTCGCCGTCCCTCGGCTTCGCGTACCGCCGCACCCCGCGCTCCAACGCCTACATCCAGCCCCGCGGCTTCGGCGGCGGAGGTGTCACCGCTTCGGGGAAGAAGGACGGCAAGGGCGGCGGCGGCGGCGGCCCGGCGGTCTCGTCCACCGCCCGGCTGCTCTCGGAGGGGGCGCTCACGCCGGGCCCCAAGTCGGGCATCCTGAGCCCGGACGCGTACCTGAGCGGAGGCGTGAAGCGGCTCAACATCCCCACCGAGACGGAGGAGCGGCGCGAGCGCTTCTCGTCGTCGAGGCCGCTCATCCGGAGCAGCCCCGCCACCGCGGCTATTGCTGCCCCTCCCGCGGAGGACGGGGGCACTTCGTCTCAGCCGGATGTTGTTGGCGGCGCTGCCAACGGGTCTGGTGTGGAAGAGTTCAAGGGCGAACCGGCCACAGCCGTACCCGCCACCTCGTCCGAGATGAACGGCGGTGGCCCGAACAGGGTTGACTTCGCCGCCTCCTCTCCTGATGGCAGCGCCCGCCACGATGTCCGCGGAGGGCGGGGCGGCCGCGGCGGCGTGGTTTCGCCGCCGCCCAGCACCGGCGGCATCGGCACCGACGTGCGGGCGGCAGCGGGGGGCGGGGGCGACGAGAGCCTGCTGGACGCTTCCCCCGCCACCGGAAACGGCCGGCTCTTCCAAGGTGAAGGGGTCGGCGGCGGCAATGACTTCGCTCCCACTCTGGATCTCGAGGAGTACAAGACGGAGCCCTCGATGGCGGAGCTCGCGAAGATGACAAAGGACGAGCTGGCGGCGGTCTCGGGGTTCGTGGTGAGCCGGCAGGGCTACGGCAGCATCGCCTGGAAGGAGCCGGTGGACCTTCGTGGCGTGGACATCGGCAGCGTGGTGAGTGGGGTACAGTAGAGGTCCCTGTTTATTGCCGGGGTGTGCTCAAAAATTTCACCGGCACTATTCGAAGTACGGAACGACTTGATACTCCAGTGTGTGCGAGCCGAAAACACCGGCACTATACCGGCAACCTGCACTAAACAGGGACCTCTACTGTACGCTTTTTGTGTGCTTGCGATGAAGAGATTTTTCCTTGTCGGGTAAGATCTACGAACGGGTCGGAAAAAGGATTGCACGAGAGAGAGTACACCGTACGTGAGAACCCCTTCTCGGTTTGTGGAGAATGTTGTTATTCAGTTTATTTTAGAGATGTATTATCACAGAAAGATAATCCGTTCGAAATTTACAACCACAGGTTCTAGTTTATTGTTTTAATCATTGTTGATGTTGGAAGATGTGCGCTCGTCTCTCTGCTTCCCGTGGACCCCCTGACATTTCTTCCGCCCTCACCCCCCCGGTCGTTGACGTCTCCCCCTCCCCTGACGTGTTTGTCTTTGCGGAAACAGGTGGCGATCGAGCACAAGTCGGTGTCTGTGTACGACGAGCTTGCCGAAGGGGAAGAGAAGCCAGCGCTAGGCGAGGGACTCAATAAGCCCACCAGGGTCACCCTCTACAACATCTTCCCCAGGGGGGCGGACCCGTCCGACGCTGAGAAACGCCGTTACGAGGCCAGGGTCAGCAAGAACACGGAGAAGATTGGTGAGAGGTTGGTTGGGGTCTGAGTAGTCGAAACACACATTGACCGAAATGATGGAGCAGCAACGCCGCCTGATAGGATTGAGTCCCCTCCTTGTACGTCGGAGGCAGGACACTGTCTCCAACTCCTGCGCCCCCCCCTGTGGGTAGAACCCTTGCCCTTTCGGTTAGGAGGTGTTCGTATTTATTTCCTGCTACAGGACTGAGGTCTGTTCATTGGTCAGCCGGTTCGCGCGGTCGATGCCAATTAAGAAAACCCAATTTTTACCCACTGGCGCTGACGCCCCTTTGGTTGGTCAGCCGGATAGCGCGGTCGATGCTAATAGTAACCACACACACACGAGATGAGTGCGCTGCTTCGGCTGTGGATGCTGGTTGCTTGCTTTCTGTGGCCGTTTGTGTTGTTTCATGGAGCTTGCCCAAGCTTCGGTCGTAGCGTTGTTGTTGGGAAGCGGCTTACTAGCCGGCAGACAAGAGTTGCATGCCAATCGTTTTCACTGCTGATTGCTCTCCCCTGCATGGGCACTTACCCCTTTGGTTTGTCCTCAGCTTATGTTGTGATACTACAGATAAACTCGTCACAGTTCCAGTCGCCCCTGTCCCCCCCC